AACCTGGGTGAACAGAACCAAGAATCAAGCAGCGCACCTGAGCTACATATATTTCATAAGATTGCCAAAACAGCAGTGTCTCACGTCTCATGTAGTTTTTTGTAACTTTAGTCAGCTACGAATAATAAACCGAACAAGTGGGCAAACTCTATTGTAAAAATACTTTAGTATATTTCCAGATAATGCATAGTACATATAATGTATATCTGGTAGTCCTCGGTTTTTCAAGTGGCAGAGCTGCATCGTCAGATATAATCATTCAGTTCAAACACCCTACGTAAGTACGTGTACCCGCACGCTGAAGGATTTCTTGTGCTATTTTTCAGCCAAATTAAAATATGAAACAACCTGGAGATACCATCGCAAGAGTCTTGAGAAACCAAATTAAACTGGAAAAATATCGGAACGTTTAGTCATATATGACGTCCTTAAATTGCTTGTTGAAGACGCAAATATAAGCATGGCAGACTCATCAAATTAGAACGAGTGCAACTGTAGATCCCAAAAAGAAAACGTTCAATGCACAACATTGTTTACACAGCAAAATACATTCTAGCATATTTTTGTTGTTACCCCGTAATGTGCGTTGAAAACATTTGCTTTTACACGACTAATTTGAAATACTGAATTAAATCGCCAAGGAATCCTTTCATGCATCATTTTTTCGGGACTGCTGATATAGTAACACGTGCGAAACATATGCACAAAGGTTCTCAAATGCATCCCACGAGACATTCTCGTGTGTGCAATCTGTAGTGAAGTTGGAGGAAAATTGATTTGTTTAGGGAAATTGTATGACAAATTTGATGACCACCATCTATCAGTTGCAGCAGGCTTCAAACAACTTTCATGCCAGAAACTTCACCTTTCAACTGCCTTGTCATCAACTGGCACCTACTACTTTCGCCCGATTTAATACGCTCATGACCAAACTACTCATCCTGCTGTGACATGCAAGCATATAAGTTCTGCTGTTTATAGTAACTTTTGACAAAATGCGTGCTATTTTTATTGTGATATTGAAGGCCACATTTTGAATCTTAGAAGCTTTTCAGGCAACTGGCAATGCAGTATAATTTAGGGTTGGTGGTAACATAAACGCGTTTAATGGTACTACTTAGTAGCGTGAACTGCGAGGAGCAGGTTTAGGTTTGAGGTTTGAAACGAATTTCAGTGAAGACTTAACCCTGCTAAGCGTCTTTGATGTCAAATGATGAATTTTATTGTTCCGTTTTTTCATGTCTATGGGAAGTCAAATTATTGATTAGTTGACCAGTGAGTAGGTATGTTTGAGGAAAATTTTTGACGAATATGATCACATTATTTTTCTGAGAACTGGTGTTGCTCAAATAACTTCCATCATACTGAGTTGTAAATAGTCTGAGCAGTGATTCTAACTTACGGCAACTATGATGATATCGCGATAATTCCTTTTTTCAATGATGCAATTCCAGCTTGAAGAACATGATCGATACGATTTCGTGAGTGTACACATTATGTATCACTTTGAAACGGGAAGCATGCTGGGCCAATGGAGTGGCAGAGATTTGCCTCCATCAGTCAAGTCTACGAGCAACCGTTTGCTGATAGCCATGAGGACAGATGGTACAGTTGCACGCAAGGGATTTGCAGCAAACTATAATACAAGTAAGTTAGATTCTCTAACTTGTACGCCACATGAACCGTTCTGGTTTTTTTCACACTTTGTTTGTGTCGCACCAGGTACGCGTATAGTTTCTCAGGTCATTTTGTATGTGCTAAACCACGGAATGGTTGGCCCAATTCTTATGCTGTTCAAGAGTCGGAAAACACAATGCAATCATCCGTAAGGAATCATAAACTGCACTTCTTAATACGTCATTCCACAGCACGAGGTTGAATTTATGAAACGAACGCCATACATTAATTTTTATGAAATCATTTTGGTCGGAAACACTTCGTCATTTCCCAATCTGATTTGTACGCCTATGTCAACTTTTCGGAAATATATATCTGTAAGGAAATCCCATGCAACAAATATGCACTGCTTCTCCTACATGATTCAAACTTTTAATTTTGGCCTAATNAAAAACCATGTACATAATTCAAACGGCATTTGTATTGACAACTCTGGAATAGGCCGACAAAGCGTGTGTTTACGAAACAGGTTACAACATAGACGTTTCTGAAATTATCCCCATATGACATGTTTAAAATGAGAAGGATAGCCGTAATACCGGCCAAAACTAACATGTTAGCAGTATCAGTTTGAGTTGGTCTAATCAAAGATTAAGCCGATTATATACAAAGTATTTTGACAGATCAACTTTTGCATCTACACAGAGCCACAAACATAGCGGAGTGAAAATTCTTTAGTGGGTAGCTAAGGAACACGTTTTGTTAAATTCCATATAGCGTAATATGTTTCAAATTTTCAGTCTGCATAAAGCACGGCGGTCTTGCCTCCACGTGATCTTTAGTTTAATGATTTTCAACTCACCAGTTTGGTAAGCTCATGCTGAGCAACTGATTATGCGTCAAACGTTCACGGTGGCTACCAGTGAAACCAGCGTTCACTAACAACTTTGAGCATTTTGTGCACATTATGGGTAAATATGGTGTATTTTTGACTGACAATTCAAGCTTTTTCTGGATTCCTCGGAAACAAACTGCATAGAACGCTCTTGTTTACAAATAGTACGAGGTTAAATCGAGTGCAAATTGTCTAAAACACCAACGACTCACAATGAAGTGTGTCGAGGGTGTGTCGTTTGTTGTTTTGAAAGCCCGCATACAAGTAACCAAGCAAGTCTTAGCCTTTCCGTGTAGCCAGCCAGATACAATTCCCGTTGAAAAACAATGAGGTTTGCATGTGTTTTACGTTTCTGATTCCCGACTAGTCTGCATAGTGGTTCACATCTCCAAGAATGACAACTTTTTCGTTGTCGCATATTTCCTAGAATGCCGGGAAAATGGTAAGTCACCAGTCATCGCCTATCTAATCATTATTATCAATACACAGCCTTCTGTATGGTTACTTGAACTTTTGTTGAGCAAATGGAAATACTGCTCCTGAGTGAACTGCTGTACTTGAGGCTCTGCGCGGGGATCAGCTGATCTGCTTTTAACTGGATACATCAGCAGGGTAAGAGCGGCGATCGTGTTTGCACTGGTGTGGTCAGCATCCACGATTACGGGAAGCCTACGAGAACTGGATTGTACGGAGTGTGCAGCCAATAGACAGTCTGTCACTTTGAATGCGTTTCAGCGTCGAAAGACGAACGCACACCACCGAGACATTTGCCTCTATCATCCACACAGTGTATATATTATTTTAAGAGAAAAAAAACGCTTTCGGGTGTCTAAGAGTTGCGCGGTAATTTATCCAGTACCATGCTAGCCGCGGACAAATGACCAATCTGCGGTGAATACCAAAGTTCCTCTGCACAAAGTAAATTACCCAGAAAAATACAAGGATCAATCAATGCATCTGCTTAGTTCGGAAACATCTGTCGTTTCCTAGGAAATGCAGTGGGGTGTTCTAAATACTTTTTCACCTGTTCTGATTAATACGCACCCCGGCTTTTTCATTTAGCAAATCAAATTTTGCTTTGCCCCATCATTGAACTAGGGTTGACAAAATTTACAAATTTTACAAAAAACCCACGCTGCAATTTCGAAGCAAACTAATCTGAGCCGCTCTTACGCTTGTGGCCATTTGAGATGGCAATTAACTGATTTTACCCGTTACCTTTTCAGGAAGCACGACATGCGCAATTAAGTATGGCCTCCCAACTTCAATAATCCAGTCACCCGGGTATCCGTTAGGCTATCCAGACAAACTGAACATGACATGGCATATTTCGCAACCAGAAGGATGTACCATTCATTTGCAGTTTGAGTTCTTCAAAGTAAGCCCAATATAAAAGCTGTATTAGCACATTAGATTTGTCCAAGTCTCTTGTTTATGTTCAAACATGCATATCAGAAATCGAAGTAAGCCACAAAAGGACAAACGTCAGATTTTCATTGTTTTATATGTGAGTGAAAAAGAGCAAGCAGAAAATACACGCGGTAACAGA